CCCCCCCACCCAACCCGCACTGAAACCTGCTCTTACCACTTCCTCGTAACAGCAGCTTTGGTGACAGTATCAAGAGTAACCACAGCAATTACGAACAGACGAAATATCCACAAACATGGAAGGGGGAGAACCGCAATTACAGAAACAGTGGTGGTGAGGGCGGATGTTTAATTTGACTCTAGAGGGGAATAATAAACAGATGTTTTTTTAAAAAGCATTTCCTGCAGGAAACACCAAAACGAACTGCAGTCAGTGTGAGGAAGCAAACATTAAATATAAGTGTTCTATGGGGTGCCAAATCTAAAATTAAAGGTTGACAAATGTTCACGCTCATTTTTCGAGTGTAAAATTCTAGTTTAAAATCTTCCATTAACATTGTATTGTTAATTAGCTCACTGTTCTTCCATTTTGCTCAGTTTTAGCCTACTAAATGTTAAATGTTCAGTTTAAATGGTAAATCATAAATCAAGTATTTCAGAATGGAACGCAGCCTTTGACATCGGCGCTCCACTTTTACTTTGACATCATCATCCTGCGACATTAGCAACTTCTAACGTTGCTAACGTTGCTAACGTTGCTCCGTACTGTCCCCCAAAATAATTGTTTTTAGCGTTTCACTAGACTGATGACAGAATTCATTCAATTTCAGTCTTTCATCACCTGCAATGTTTCAAAGAAAAGCAACATTTATAACAGCTGTGAATTTTTAGTCCAGCAAGAAAATAAAAAGATAAGATGAGTTATAACATGATTGTAAAGAAAATAGTTTGCAAGTAATTATAAAATATATACGCATCATAAATCTGTATATTTTTTTACCGCTAATCAAAATGTAAACAATATTAAAACTGTTTTCAGAGTATAATTTAACACACCTAGAATTAAGTATAGAAATAATTATTTTCAGTATTTTTTCCTAAATCGAGCACATTCCAGATGCGCAAATGAGCTAACAGCTTAAGGAGAGCGGCAAAAGTTCAAAACTTATTTCTAGCAGCAGAACAGGTTGGAAGATGTTGTTTAATATTATTTATTGTTTTTAAATCATCCTACAGGCTCTGACATGTTAGATAAATTTGAAAATGAGGTTTTGAAAAAATCATTAAGACTTGAAAATCTGTGAGATTGCTCTGTACGTCTGTATACCTGCAAAATGACATAAAATCCTTATAACTTACAGATAATCTGTACAAGTTGACATGGATGTTATTTACTTGCTTTCTGGGAAAGCAAATAAATCTAAGTTTACCACAGTACCTTACACTGTCAAACTTGTTTTTAAGGGTTCAAATTGGGGTGGGTGGGACATAGTTCGGTGGGGTGGTGGTGGGGGGGTTGCGCTTCAACTCGCCTAGGGCACCAAAATGGCTAGAGCCAGCACTGGTGAAAGCATTTAGACTTCTAAAGGAGGCTGTCGTTACTTTAAGTATCCAGGCACCTTCAGGGTTGACGACATGAACTTGTTCCTCTCCTCCAACAGCTTTTTAAAGAGACTCCTGGCTGCGTTTCATCACGTCTCCTCAAAATGTGTTTAACATGTTTGTCGAGCAGAAAAGCTCCAGGACGTTAGTCATCAAAACTGAAGTCTACAGCTAAGCCTTGTTCCTGTTACTTTGTTCTCATCACATCTAAGTAGAGTTGGGTCGTAATGAGCTCCGATCTGAGGATGTCCTTCAGACATTAGTGTTGAATCTGTGAGGCTTTCTTGACCTGCGTCCATTAGCCTATAAACGTGTTTATTATCAGTGGGAACTCCCTCGGTCATTAACTCTAAATGAAGGTCATTAATCCTCATAGAACCTTTGCTCTCATATTGTTCTCACAATAGATTTTTTTTATTAGATCCTATTTATTTTGCCTGTCTTTCCTTCAGTATGTCTTTATTCTCATGTTAGAGATTCAGCCGTGAGGTAAATGAAGCAAACAGAAAACGTCAGGTTCATGCTTTATTTAATATTTTCAGAGCTGTTTACTGGAAAATCGACAGACTTCCACTGACTTTGGCTTTTTTGGGGATTGGAGGCAGCGGATCAAAGCACTCTGAGGCATATGAGTGGGGAAAACGGTCTTTTCAATAATTCAGGACACATTGTTTTGCATTTATGGTAATCACGAGTTTATTCATGTTGTTGTTTTCAGGCCAAATAGCTACAGAATGTTTTCAGTTGTTTGTTTGAAAGGGAAGTCTGTAATTTTCCCTCAAATCCTCCCATTTCATCATTTTTGGACTTGAATTTTTCTGACAAGAAATAATGTAATGATCCCCTTTTTGTATAAAGCAGGGCTATACAACTAAACTGCTCCAGGAGCCACAGTTACTGCAGGTCAACAGCTGAGGGACCGAACATCCAGCAGTTAAAGTGCCTGTCACGTCAAATTTTTGTCATACATATGAATGCCTTTTTAGAAAGAGGACACTGATAAATTATTGCAAAAGAAATTTCATGTTGCTGAGATGAACAGTTGTTGAGATATTTGCCTGTAAAGTAACAGGAAGTGATGTCAAAGGGGAATGTCTGAATGTGAACAGAGCATCGCTACAACAGCTAACAACCCAGACTGTAGAGAAGAATCTGATGTTTCTTTAGATTATTTTGAGTCTCTAGCAGAGATGAGGAGTCAGAGTTCAAATAATATTGTTTTAATAAACAAAGACCAGAGATTTCTTTGTTAAAAACCCTTTGATGTCACTTCCTGTTTCAATTTGGCAGAGCCAAATTCAGAAGAAAATATGCCAGTTATGGGAAAAAATGGGTTAAATCGGGTATATTATTCCAACTTTCTTAAATACAAAGATGTTTTCTTTGACTTTTTGTATTTGAAGCATATGCATGTCACAGGCACTTTAACGTCATTATGTAAATAAACCAAGTATTACAAAGATCTGTTACCTTTGAAATAGTTTATTTTGCTGCATTTAATCGTGACTACAACATACAGAACCCTACAAAAGTAGTGATAATTGAACAATATCAAAAACAAAAAGAACACATTATGCCTCTTATTTACCACAAATAATATTTTGACATCTCTGACTTAATTTTTAAATCAATTTTGTTATTACATTCATAGTTTTGTAGTTTTAACTGTCTTGAATGTTAATAGAAATGTTTTTACCAGCTTCTAGCCAAGATTCTGATGTTTCTGTAGACACCAAACATGTCTATGTTTAACTAAAAGAACTTAGAGTAATTAAAGTAGAAACCAGGTGGTTTGGGCTTATAAGATGAATGAACCAATTGGTCACAATTTGGTCACTCAGAGGCCGGATGTGGCCTGCAGGTCGCCAGTTGAATAGCCCTGCTATGAAGGTTAAATTTTGTAATATTTATAATTAAAAGCCTGTTTTCCATGAGAGCCAGGTCTCCAAATGACTCAGCGTCTCCAGTTTAATTTTAGTAAGACGAGCCTCGCAGGTTATGTGAAAATTAGCCAAAGGACTGTAAGGAGACTGAAGTGCTGATTAATGGATTTTGTTGTACGTCGCAGGAAAGACATTTACTCTGCTAGTTTCTATAATTACAACATGTCGCACTGATGAAAGAACGGTGCCAGCAGACCGTGAGGTTTTTCCACAGTGAGGTCTTAAACGACGTGTCAGACCTGACTCTTGTGTCCTTTTTTTGTCCCCCCCTTGCAGCTGTTCGTCATAGACAACGGAGCCGATGACTGGCGCATCGCCATGACCATGGAGCGGGTCCTGCTGATCGCGCTGGAGCTGCTGGTGTCTGCGGTGCATCCAGTGCCAGGGGACTTTAAGTTTCAGTGGCGGGCACGGTTGGCCTTCTCGTACGCGCCTTCGCAGGCCGAGGCTGACCTGGACATGGTGCTGAGCGTGCCCATGTTCCTGCGCCTCTACCTCATCGCCAGAGTCATGCTCCTGCACAGCAAACTCTTCACGGATGCCTCCTCCAGGAGTATAGGTGCCCTAAACAAGGTCAGAAAGCACTTCTCACTTGAAATGTAAACTGTAACACATTCAGTGGAGTATTGATACCAGTGGAGATACTTGTAAAAATGCTGGTAAGATAAGATAAACCTTTATTGTCCACCAAGGTGGAAATTTTCCTTTGGTTCTGCAGCCATAAAACACAGTCATACAAAAACACATACGTACAATCATAATTTCAAAAATTTAAAACATAAATAAAAACAAAAATAAAAACTCTTATCATCTGTGGGAGATTGTCATTAGTTTGGCTAAGAATGGTTATTGCACTGGGAATGAATTACCTCTTATAGATGTTCTTGGTTGCCAGAGGGACCCTAAAATGCCTTCCAGAGCTCACAGGTTCAAACTGACAAAAAAAGAGGATGGCTGCTATCTGCTAAAATGTTCCTTTCCATCTTGTTCTTTCTTCAAACAACTGAGGTAGAGTTTTTTGTTGTTTCCCCACTACTTTGTTTGCCGTCGAAACAATTTTTGAGAGTTTGTTTCTTAGTCTACAACTCGTGTGACCATACCAGGCAGAGACATGAAAAGTTAGGACACTCTCAATGATTGTCTTATACACAAGCTCTAGAGTCTGCTGACTAACCCCCACTGTCTTTTCAGAAGATAAAGTCTCTGAGAGCATTCCTTAAAAATGTAATTAGTGTTTTCAGCAAAAGTAAGATTACTGTCCAGAAACGACCCTAAGTATTTAAAGTTTGCCACAGTTTCGACAAGTTGGCTATCAAGTGAAACTGGCTCCACTTTAAGGTCTTGTTTGGTACATCGTGATATCATGGTGTCTTGTTTGGTGCATCGTGGTATCAGGGTGTCTTGTTGGGTGCATCATGGTATCATGGTGTCTTGTTGGGTGCATCATGGTATCATGGTGTCTTGTTTGGTGCATCGTGGTATCATGGTGTCTTGTTTGGTGCATCATGGTGTTTTGTTGGGTGCATCATGGTATCTGATTTGATACAGATACCACTGTGTTTTTGGTACACCTAAATGTTTCAAAACAGCAAACTAATTTTAATAAGAGAAAAAAAACACATTTCATACTAGAGCCAGTCTTTGCCGCCAGGAATCAACATGGCCAGGGACCCTCCTTCGCCTGTTTGTCCATGTGGAGGCAGTGCTTATAAGGCTGAGTTCACCTGAAACTCATCAGACTGAAGAAGTTTCTTGGAGGAGAGACAAAACGTTTCACTAAAGAAGAACCCATCCAGAGGACCTACTTATTTTTTCTTTTTGATTATCAAGACATTAGTTGTGAATTTAGGAAGGTTTTTTTATAGAATAATGTCAAAAACTAATCTTCCAAATTAAAAAAGTTCTTTCACTTCTTATTAACTTGTTTCTTGCCATCATCAGCTCTGTGTCGCTCCTTGTTTTGCTTGTCATTCTTAGAGATTTAGATGTAAGCGATGGTGGATCGTTCATGATACAACAGGAGACAAGAAAGGAAATGGGAAGGAGAAATTGTGAATGGCTCAAATGGGCCATGAAAAGACAAAAGTGAAATTGGAATATGAGTGCGTGCAAGCCATCCAGTAAATGATGTGCGCCGTGTTTTAAATGATGATCAACTATAAACATTGTTGGAAGATCCGGTCGTGGAGATGCCCTGGGGAAAAAAAAGTGCCAACTCAGTGGAAGAGAGGAGAACATGGAGGACTTCAGATGAGTGATTTAACTGTTTCCTGGTGTATTTAGGTGCCATTCCTTGGGTCCTGGCGTTCACAGGGACAGGGAGAGGAGGTAAAGCTGCCATCCAAGTGCCGCTCCAAAATGACAACTCATTTATCAGCTGGTTTACCTTCCAAGGCCCGACCATCAAATGACCCATCTGCCAGGGCTTGACGGGGCCTGCCTCTTATTGACAAATGAGTCACTTATCACAACTACTCTGAAACAGCCCAATTACTCAGAGACACCGTACGGCTTGACCCGAATCAGAGGTCGAGACCGGATCTGGACTGTCCAATTACAGCAAGAATCTCTGAGTTCTGCTGCTATCAAAGCTTCTTTAAAGGCTAATTAGTGAAACCTGCAGGTCTGAATGTAACACAGTACCAGCTGAGGGTTTGCAGTGAGGAACACACTTATCACTTCTTTGCGTGTGTGTGTGTGTGTGTGTGTGTGTGTGTGTGTGTGTGTGTGTGTGTGTGTGTGTGTGTGTGTGTGTGTGTG